AAATATCATTTGATTTTGTAATCAATTAAAAAGGTGTAATTTTTTATTTATCAAATACATAAAAATTTATCCTTGTTGTATTTGAACATTGAAAAGTCTATATTTCGATCTATACATACTTTTTCAATCTACACTTTTATATACTTTTATATGTGATAAAATTGTCTCATATATATAACAAATTACAAGCTTTTTTTAGTAACACGTTGAGTATGCTTGTTATGCTTGTAATGAAATTAATCAAATATGACAAACAAAAATCAATAAAAAAAACAATAATCTGAGTTTCGAGTATTATTTACAAATTAAAACAACGTAGGATATATAACTTGTAAAATTCGACTTATATAAAAATTGCATTATTCTTCACTTTAATTCTGTTATCTGGCATTGTTGATTTTAAGTTTTTAACCATCCTAATACACTTGAACATTAGTCTATTATAGATAATATGAGAAACCATTTAATATTCCATTTAAATAAATAAAAACATCAACAAAAAAACATATTCAAAAGTATGGAATATTAGATAAATAATTGATGATCGTAACTGCTTCATAAAAAATTCAAATCAACATTTTGACCATTTTACCTTCTCTTAAATCCTCTTTTTGCACGCATAATCAAAATATAAAATCAAATAAAAAAACTATTATATACTGAGTCAATATTTTTAGCAAAACATGTGTAAACTGTTGAACAATTTGCCTTCCAATTAACAAATATATTCAATCCAATTTTCAATTACAAATAATCACTTTTGATAGATAGATAACTTAACATTTTATACTAAAAAAACATGACAATTCAAAAAATTTAAACTTTGTTGAATATTATTGAACACTCAAATAATAAAACTTTAAGTACATTAATGGAAAAAAATAAAACTTGACCAATGATATTCTTACATTAAAGATTGCAACTTTGTTGTGGATTACGCATGCTATCATGCAGAGCAGAGAGAATCATAATAGAAATTTATTATTGAATTTTTTTTTATAATAATCATATATTAAATAATAAATACCAAAATAATAGGTATTTTAAAAAAATTTCTAAAATAGGCGTTCGCCATTTGAGTTCGCAAAGGAGAAGAAAATGAAATCTGGAAAAAGAAAATCGCCATGGCAATTGGCGAATGCTTGCATGGAAACTAGAAAAAGGAAATCGTGGATGGAAAATGGAAACCCTAACTTGGTCTCATTCGCCAATTGCCATGGCGATTTCCTTTTTCAGTTTTCATTTTATTCTCTTTCCCCAACTCAAATGGCGAACGCCGGATGGATTGTTAGCCATTTTGGAAATTTTTTTGAGATACTTGTTATTTTGGTATTTATTATTTAATATATGGTTATTATAAAAAAAAATTTCTTATTATTTATTCGCCCTCCTTAAAACAAGGAAGTCAAGACCAGTGTAGTTAGGAGTGAAAAAGAAATTGTTGTTGAGAAAGGTATACCGTTAGAAGCAGTTGTCCAGCTGCAACACGCAGAATTATCAGTTGGGATGGAGGGGATTAAGGATACTCAAGTGAAACCTTAAATCTTTATTTAGTATTTGATTCCTTCTCATTAGTTTGTTTATGATGATAAGTAAAGAAGATAAAATATTAGTTTGAAAGTGTTGGGGAGCGTTGAGTAAAGTTTTTTTTTACAGATATAATAAATATTACATTGATATTTACGAGCCTTCTGTATATGTAGTCTTAGAAATTGAAGGCTCTGCAGATTTGAGGAAATTCTGGTAAAACACGATGTTGTGCAAGATGTTCCAACATAAAGAAGTCTGATGAAGAAGATATTTTAGACAAGATGTCTTAACTTGTGTCTCGACATCTTGACCTGATATCTCAGGTTGTTGCTAATCTGGTCCAAGATTTAAGGAGCAACCAGAACATGGATCAAGGAAGAAATAAACAGTTATTTCGAAGCCTAAGACTGCAGAAGGTTATAAAACAAGACTTAGACCTAGGGCTGAAAAAAGAATCCTTTGTAACACTTTTGTAAATGGAAATAAGAGTTTAGAGTTTTGAGAGTCGTAGGCTTTCTTGTGTTATAAGTCTCCCTTTGTATCGGTTGAATACATTATGGTAAATGTAAATTTTTATACAGATTCAGAAACCTTTAGGTAATGAATTGTATATTGTTCTTGGATGAAGCTTTGAAGCAAATCCAAGTAGGTTTGTTAGTCAAGTTTGCTTGGCTGAACCTTGTATTGAAAGAGAGGTATTTCAAGTGAAATGATACAATTATTATGACTATAACTGTTAGATGTAACAAGAGGTGATTAAGGGAGTGAGATGAGTTTCTCTTATCAATTAGATGAGATTTCTAATGATAAAGTTTTCATTCGGTAGTGATAGGTAAGCCAGAGGCTGCTTACTGTAAACCAGAGGTTGTTTACATAAAACTATACTATTGATAGTGAATTCTTCTTGCTGGCTTGGTAGCCCCCAGATGTAGGTGAATTTCACCGAACTGGGTTAACATATCTTGTGTTATTTATCATTCTGCAAATTTACAGTTCAATATTTGCTTATTGATTAACATGTTGTAACAGATGTTGAAACATCTGTCGTGATTCTGTTGCTGATATTCAGAGTATCAGCTTGATTATTCTGCCCTTGTGTTAAAGTTATGCAGAGAACAATATCGTGACACGTTGTTAGCACATCTGCAATCTGCTACGCCAAAATTTCAGAAACCATATATGATCCTAATAAAATTCAAAATAACCTCAAGTTGTTGGGCTTTGGTGAATATCTTATTATGGAAAATTATGGTTTTGCCGGAGGTATTAGAGTGACTTGGAAGAAGGAACAATTGAATATCATTCTTTGCGAGAAAGATACTCAATATATGCATTTTCTCATCCAAAACCAAATAGAAAAAAATGGTTCTTTACTGCTATTTATGCTAGTTCAAATTATGCAAGTAGAGATGTCTTGTGGGAAGTCTTAAAAAGAATAGCAGATAATACTCAAGGTGCGTGGATGATCGCGGGGGATTTCAATGACATCATGAGTCCAGCTGAAAAGAAGGGTGGAGTCATAACTTCAGCTAGGAAGTGTAATCTTTTAAGAGATAGAATTGACGAGTGCAAGCTGTCAGATCTTGGATCCTCTGGCCCCAAGCACACATGGAGGATACCTACTTTCCATGGAGGACAGAAGATATATGAGAAACTGGATAGAGCCTTGAGTAACATTGCTTTGAGGGATATATTTCTTGATGCTCAAGTTAAAGTGTTAACCAGAGTAGATTTTTCAGACCACCATCCTATCCTCATCATGTCGGTCATGAGATTCTATGTTAATATTCCTAGGCCTTTTAAGTTTGAAAGTGTTTGACTAGTTGATGAATCTTTTCATGATACTCTAAGCAGATCCTGGGATAAAGATGCTAGCAAGGTGGGCAATATGGAAAAGGCTAAAGAGTATCTTCAAATATGGAAAGGGAACTCTTTTGGTCAGGTCTTGAGGAAGAAGAAAGAGTAATTGGCTCGTCTTAATGGAGTACAAGGTTGTATCGAAATGATTAACAACTTCTCAGGAATGAAAACCTTGGATAAAAAACTTCTTGCAGAGCTGAAATTCATTCTTAAGCAGGAGGAAATTATGTGGTTTCAAAGAGTGAGAACTAAGTGGCTGGTAGATGGCGATAGAAATACCAAATACTATCATCTTAAGACTATCAACAGAAGATAAAGAAACATGATAAATATGTTAAAGAATGATGAAGGCCAGTGGATAAAAGATTCGCAACAACTCTATATGTTGGTCAAAAATTAATTTTTGAAGCTTTTTGCTGCTCATTATTAGTGGAAAGAGTGGAAGAAAACATAGGTTTTTGTCCCTGCTCTAAATGGTTTTGGTATTCAGAATTTGAAAGACCCTTTAAGTGATGTAGAGATGAAGAGAGTAGTGTTTTCCATGAAGCATTGGAAAGCTCCAGGACTGGAAGGTTTTCTTGCGGGATTCTATCAAAAATTGTGGGGCATAATGTTTGTCAGTTTGTGTATGGGATATGGACTAAGCCAGAAGAGATATCTATGATTAATCAAACTAATATATGATTGATCCCAAAGATATATCTCCCCAATACGACACTCACTTTCGACCAATTTCATTGTGAAACTCACTTTATAAGATAATAAGCAAGATAATAGTGGAAAGATTAAAGACTTGTATTCCTAAGCTTGTTTCTCCTTTTCAAGTGAGGCGTGTGCCAGGTAGATCTATACATGATAAATTTATCATCGCCAAAGCGATTATGCGCATTATTCACCAAAAGAAGGGTAATAAAGGTATGTTTTCTGTCAAAATTTATATGCCCAAGGCAAGTTCTCAATGTATTTGGCAAGTTCTCAATGTAGCTAACTTACTAGCTAATTTGATCAATATTATCAGGCATGCAGTCAGAAGCATTGAGCTTAATGTGAATTGGCATGGAACGCAATGTGAATTCTTTCTCCCTCAACGAGGAATTTGTCAAGGAGACCCCATTTCACCATGCCTCTTTATGTTTTGCATGGACAAACTTTCCCATATTATTGAGCAAGAAGTTTTAAGTGGAAATTGGAAAGCAGTAAAGATGGGGTCGCATGGGCCTAGAATCTCTCATCTAATGTTTGCAGATGACTTGTTTATGTTTTGGGAAGCTTCAGAAAACCAACTGTTTTGTGTGATGGAAGCATTGCAGAAGTTTTGTAATTTGTCTAGATAATATGTCATTAAGCAAAACTCCAACATCCTCTTTTCAAAGAATGTCTTGAGGAGCTTGAGGAACAAGTTATTCAATATATCCATATTTCGAGAGACAAATCAGTTTGAGAAATATCTAGGAGTTCCTATTAGTGGTAGGTCCCTGAGAAGAGCAAATTACTAGTTTATTATAAATCAAGTCTCACCTAGACTTTCAAATTGGAAGGAGAACTTCTTGTCGTTTGTTGGCTGAATTACTCTTGCCAAAAATGTCTTAGAGGATATCCCAATTTATCCAATGATGAATAACTTACTCCCCAAGTCGTGTCTGAAAGAGATCCAAAGATTACAAATAAATTTTATATGGGGAGACTCTCATAGTGGTAGGAAGGTTCATGTAGTTAAATGGAAGACAATTACAATGCCTAAGGAAAATGGAGGTTTGAGGCTTAGGGATCTTTCAGCCATGAATCATGCTTGTATCTTGAAGTTGGCATGGCAGTTAATCATTGGTGCGGAGGATTTATGGTGTATACTATTGAGAGGTCTTTACAAAGACGTGTAGTTGAGCAGTAGAAATACCAAGAAGAAATCGGGTTCTGATTTGTGGAGGGCTTTTAATAAGTTTATTCCTCATTTATTGAAACATGGTAAGTGGATTATAAGAAATGGTAGAAGCGTGGACACATGGGAAGACAATTGATTAGAGGTTGGGAATTGTATAGGCGAACATGTGTAATCGATTCTAGTTAATGCTTGAGCAGCAAAAGTGTGTGATTTAGTGAGAGAAATGGGGGATTGGAATTAGCACCTTCTGCAGCCTTGGATTCCTCCTGGTATTCTTGAGAAGATGAGCAAATCTCAACCTTCTAATGGATGTCTCGAACTGGATAAATTCATTCTGGAAGGAATGAAGCAAGAGTTTGGTTCTGTAAATCAGTTATATGGCATAATGATGCATGTTGATAATAATAATGTTGATCATGAATGGAAGAGAATTTGGAGGTTAAAAGTTCCTGAGAGGATTAAGATCTTTTTTTGGTTGTTAAAGCATTATACACTGTTAACAAATTATAGTAAGATTCATAGGGGTCTTGGTGCAACTGCGTGTAACTTGTGTGGTCATGTAAATGAATCTATGTTGCACGGTTTTCGTGATTGCCCGTATGCGTGGGAAATTTAGGTGAATATTGCATCATTGAGCATAAATTATGAGTTTTTTAATGTGAAGTTGGAAGGGTGGTTCATCTTGAACATTAATCATAACTCTAAGGAGGAGGCAGGATGAAGTGCATATTGGGCGATGACTTGCCATACTCTTTGGTTTTGGCGTAACTAAGAGGAACATAACAGGGAGTTCATGAGGCCTTTTAACCCCATCTTGTATGAGCATGTGCGTTTGAAGGGGTATGATGATGCCTAGATAATGAACAAGAAGGTTGTTGGAAGAAACAAGGAGGTTATGCTCATTAAGTGGATTTCTCCGAAGACATGTATGGTGAAATTAAATATGGATGGTGCTTTCATAGAGGGATTTGTGGCGGGATGTGGGGGAATTGTTAGGGATGATATAGGTTTTTGTTTGGGAGGTTTTCCTAAAAATGTAGACATTTGCAGTAGCTACATGGCTGAGTTGTGGGGGTTGCTTGAACGATTGATTATAGTTTTTGACCTTCGGATCAGAATGGTAGAAGTGAATATGGATTCGTCTGAAATTGTGTTGGAAAATAATCAGGGGAGATCTAAGAGAAGTGAAAGTTTATAAATGCTCAGGAAAATTGGGAGTCCGTTTAGTAGGTTTGAGGAAGCCTACGTGAAGCACATGTTTAGAGAATCTTACAGGTGTGCGAATGCTCTTGCTAAATTTTGGTGTAGATTAAAAGGAATTTAGAGTGTTATCCTATTGCTCATATCATCGTTGAAAAGTTGTTAGCAAAATATATTGAGGGGGGTTTCTCCTCCGGGGAGGTGTTCTTGTAGTTTTTTCTTTCTTTGGGCCTTTGGCCCTCTTTTTCACCAAAAAAAGATTGCAACTTTATTGCAAACATTTGAGATTGTCGCGGTGAAATTTGGATATCAAACTATTGATTAGTTTGAATCTTTAATTCAATTTGCAGCCGAACTTTGATTTGTCCAAAGGAAGGGATAAAGATCGAAATTCCCACAATGCAATGCAAATGCAAGGTTTAGAGAGTTATAGGTTCGGGGTTGGTTAAACTTAGGGAAGGTACTAGCATCCTAAGTTTCTGTAGTACTCTACAGGAACCTCTTGTTTTATGTTTGTTTATTACTATGTGTTTATCTGCTTAAGAGTTTAAAGACCTAGGGGTTTATTTCTAAGTATACTCGATAAGATGTCGCATCTTATGCCTACATATCCTTACGGGAGTGGAATCAGAGTATTTGTAGTTCCCCTAAAGGGTTTGAGGAGTTCTTTGACTGTGGTCAAAGTTCCTACGGGTTTAGGGTAGTTGATTGATTGATTTTAGGAGAAGAGATGTGTCTTCATTTTAAGGGAGATGTAACCGCCACAGGTTGTAGGAAAATAGTCTTTGCATCGTCTTAAGAAAAGGGCTTAAGTACTCGGATTGTTTGACGAGTATGCCTTTATCTCTCTTAAGGCAAAGTCCCTACGGCTTGATTGTATTGTTGTGGGGTGGAGATTCTATCTCGCTTAAGATGATTGACATCTTTCTCTAATGTGTTTGAATAATTGTTTTGAATTGTTGATTGTTTGTTTGTCTAAGTTGTAAAGATAAAGACAAGGTCCTTCCTATGGGGTAGGTCCTATCCTAAAATGATCGACTTGAATGGGATCAAGGATCAAAGGGATTATGATGCAAATGATGTGCACTACACACAAGTGTTGACTCATGTGTAGGTTTTTCCTTTGGACGGATGCGATGCAATAATGCGAAAATATAAATACGATGCTGTAAATTGCTCGTAAAATAAATTGCGGGAATGATAAAGCCATACACATACACATGAAAGCGCTGAAGTGTGTGAGAGTGAGTGTGTCGTGGGGTGCACGATTAGATTAAGTTTTACGCTGTTGATTGATTTTAACTGGTTAACTTGATCTTAGGGGGGCGGAGTTGAATTGATTAACGGGAAAGTTGTAAAAAAAATTGAATTAACTTATTGGTTAAAACAAAAGTTTTAAATTATAATGAGTGATTTGAAAAGAACGAGAGAGATGTGGTTTTGTTAGTAAAATTGCATTAATTCTGATTATTTAAAATAAAATCTATTATTGAAGTTTTAAAATTATTAAAAAAAGTTTTCAAAAAGGATTAAGTTCTCTAATTTTAGATAAGTTATAATTATTATTTAAATATACCAATAAATTGGTAATCAATAAGTGATAAATTATTTAAATTATTTTATCTAATCATAAAAAGGGGACCAGTTAATGGAGTATTTTTTTATAATAAAATAGGGGTTGTTATTAAAGTTAATTTGAGAATTAAATGATATTATTATTAAAAGAAATGGGTTTTAAAAGGATTATTAATAAATATTTAATTTAAGAAAAAGATTTAATTATTTTATTAGTTTATATTCTAATTTTAAAAAAAAGATTTAAAGTTACTTAAAGTTGATTAGTCGCAGGTTTAAAAGGTTAATCAAGTTAACTGGGTTAATTAAAGAATAATGGTGGGGATTAACGGTTAATTAGGTGATTGTGTGACTGTGATTAGTGGTAGTGTGTGTATTCACCAGGTTATCATTATAACAAAACAAGAATTAAAAAAAAAACCTAATCTCAGCTTTCCCCTCCCCCTTCTTCGATCCGTTTCCCCGCGTCTTCTTACTCTCCTATCCCACGAATCTTCTCCTTCAATCTCCTCTCCTCTCAATCGATCGCTCCCTTTCGACTTCTCCCGCTTTCATCCCTTTGTTCTTCTACAACTCGAGACCTGTGAACACCAAAACAAAACAAATCAAATGAATCAAACAATTGATGGATTAGTGTTACCCACAGATGAGGATCCTCGGTGGTTCGCGGCGGTTTTCTGGAGATATTGATGTACGTGGCGGTGTTGCAAAATCTAAGTTTTGTCTACGCGGTTCAGATTCGCGTTTGCGTGGCTGGTTGAGGGTGATTCTCGACGGCGAGCGGCGCGAATAGGGCTTCGCAGATAAGTCTTTCTTCTCGATTTAGGTTTTTGATTTTGGGGATTTTTGTGAATGCGGAATGAGTAGGTTTTTTGGTCAATTATTGTGTGTTTGTTGTGAATTCTTTGTGTGTTTCTGTTTTGTGAATCTCGTTGGGAGGTTTTTTTTTGTGTGTCTTCTGTTATCTAATCCGTCTTCTTATATAGGGTTGTAGGAGACAGAGCGAATTGAAGAGTAATAAAGAAGTTTCAAATTCCGGGGGATCATGCCTAGACCATTTTGGAAGGTATTGTTATACTTGTAACTCTATTAACAGGATTTCTAATTTCGTCTGATTGGCTTCCATTTCCACTTCGAATTTTCCGTTATGATTCTTGCAATCTGTTTTTTAATGCTAATCTGAATAGAATTTGGGAATGGTTTAATAATCAATGAATTTAATTCCTGAATTGAACACATTCGTTGGCTATTGTCTGAGAAGGAAAACTGAATAATATTGTTTGAAAATTCTTGCAGGAATCGACCCCCTGGGATATGGCTGCTCCAGAAACTGTAGGTTGTTGCAAGGGAGTTTCATAACATTGCCAAATAACAATCTGGCCGGCCATCTGTTGCAGGATAATCACAAGTGAATCAACTAAGTTGCAAATGTCGGTTTAATGAGTGGGTAACTTCATATTTCTCTTGAACAGGCCTGCCATATTAGGGGAGCCTCTTGCTTTGGTCCAAACCGCAGCAGTATTACCTACTTCATGTTCTAAATGACGGCTTTGGGAGCAAGTTGAATTGGTTTAATTGTTGGCTTGAATAACTGATACTCTTTTTATTTTATTTTCAGGAGCATGTTGGTTATGATTATGTATCCTGCTATCTTCCAAACAAGAATGAGATGGACGCCTGTTGCCGTATTGATCACCCTTGTTGCCGGTATGCGGATGCTCTCTGATGTTATCTACCATCAAAAATTACAATTGCTGATTCTCTGTTATTTGTTCAAATGTAGGTGATTGATGTAAGGTAAATCAAACACCATATTAATCTTGCATTGGTCTGGTGGCAATTTGATGTGTGATATTACGAACTTCACTTCAAGCTTCTGTTCTATAAAAAAACAGAAGGTTTTTCTTGAACAAGGAGGTGCCTCATGAGCAGAGTCGGTCGCGCTTGTACTCTTAGTGTGTTGGATGCCGACATTCCCGAAGTTATATACGCAGTTGTACATATTGGTCCTGGATATGTCGTTTGTTCTGAAATGGAGCGGAGAGTAAATGAAACCCTCTTAATTGTAATGACATTATATTCTAGTTGCACTTTTTACAGAACTTTATCAATAACACTAATTCTGAGGAAAATGGATTGATACAGCAGCAATAGCCCGGGTGATCTTCTGTAACATGTCGATTTTGGTACTCTACCAGATAAGCCATCATTTTAAGATTGTGT